CGTTTTAAAACAATAAATCCTTCTCTATGCGGATTCCAAATGTTTGACATGCGCAGTGTTATATTTGAGGTCGACATCTCTGGTTTGGGTTGAAAAAAAACCTGGTTTCCCAAATGGGGCATAGGCGTTAAGTTGTTTTAAGTTGTTCTACATTTTACTGTATTAATGCAGCTCAGTCTATGTCCTCCCTATCTTTTAACTTAATAAACCCTCTTCTCTATGTGTGTGTGTATGTGTGTGTTTATGTGTTTGTTTAGGTGTCTACATTTATTTCAATGCGCCTGTAGGTTCCAGTGCAAATACATTTTGGCTATATGCTTCTCAAGTTTTCTCAACATGTGTCCTATCCAAATCCGGCGCCTTTTCCTCACCCCTTGGTCCATTGCGACTTGCTTAATTATATCAAAAGTTCAGTATTAATAATTCTATCATACCATTGAATTCCCTCTATTCTGCGCAGGCACCAGTTACTGAATGTTTGCAGTTTATTCGTAATTGTTTTTGTTCTTGTTCATGTTTCCGCTCGAGACAGCAATTCTGATCTGGTGATAGAATTAAAATTTAAAATTCTGTATTAGTTTCAATTTTTTTTTTTTTACCTCTACAAATTCCCTAGTGCTATGAAAGCCCCTCTTGCCTTTCATGTTCATTTTGTAAAATCTCTGCCAGTTCCTCTGTCTGTATTTAGTCTACATTAAAGCCCAAACAGGTGTCTGACTCCATATCTTGCAGTGGTATGCCACTAAGAGAAAATAGACAGCTGTTATCCTTTGAATCGCTGTCCGCTGTCTACCCCCCCCCTCCCCACCCCACCCCACCTCTAATATACTGTAAGTACATGCGAGAATTGTAGATGTTTATTGTGTAAGTACTTGAGAGAGTTTTACAGGATAATTTTGTAAATATATGGGAGAGTTATTGATGTTAATGTAATGTTGCAAACACATGAGAGAGTTGTTGGTGTTAATGTTGCAAACACATGAGAGAGTTGTTGATGTTAATGTTGCAAACACATGAGAGAGTTGTTGGTGTTAATGTTGCAAACATATAAGAGATTTGTTGATGTTAATGCTGCATTACATTAGAGAGTTATTGGGGTTCATGTTTTATGTACATTTAAGACTTTTAGATGTTAAATGTTGTCAGTCATCATCATCAAGTGCCTTGCCAGCTGGAGTAGGTGTTCATGCATCACCACAGATCTTAATCTTTGGTGTTCTGGATCAATTCCACTGATGATATTTCTCCATGCGACTGTCTTAAGCCATCCACCATATTTTCTCTTGGTCTGCCTCTGCCTCTTCTACCAGCGATCTTTCATTTCGTTACAATATTTTCCAGTGCTCCTTTTCTCATTACATGACCAAAGAACTCATTGTTGTATACAATTGTCTACTTTTATTAGCCATTTCCAGGCATTAGTGTTGGTTATTCTGGCAGTCCAAGGTATTCTGAACATTCTTCTCAAGAACCACATCTCAGCTGCCTCCAAACTCTTTTAATTTGTTTGCTCACACTCCAAGATTCACAACCATACAACAGAACAGGCTAAATATAACATTTCAATACTCGTCAATGTTGTAAGTGCGTGAGAGAATTTTAGATGTTAATGTTGCAAGTAGGTGAGAGAGTTTTAGGTAATAATGTTAAAAGTACATGGGATAGTTGTTGATGTTAATGTTATAAGTGCATGCTTGAATTTAAGATGGTAATGTTGCAAGTACATTTTAGATAATAATGTTGTAAGTAAATGGGAGAGATTTAGACTATATAGATAGATGATTCTGTATCTTTATCTACACTGCTGCCTATATAGATAGATGATTCTGTATCTTTATCTACACTGCTGCCTATATAGATAGATGATTCTGTATCTTTATCTACACTGCTGCCTATATAGATAGATGATTCTGTATCTTTATCTACACTGCTGCCTATATAGATAGATGATTCTGTATCTTTATCTGCACTGCTGCCTATATAGATAGATGATTCTGTATCTTTATCTGCACTGCTGCCTATATAGATAGATGATTCTGTATCTTTATCTACACTGCTGCCTATATAGATAGATGATTCTGTATCTTTATCTACACTGCTGCCTATATAGATAGATGATTCTGTATCTTTATCTACACTGCTGCCTATATAGATAGATGATTCTGTATCTTTATCTACACTGCTGCCTATATAGATAGATGATTCTGTATCTTTATCTACACTGCTGCCTATATAGATAGATGATTCTGTATCTTTATCTACACTGCTGCCTATATAGATAGATGATTCTGTATCTTTATCTACACTGCTGCCTATATAGATAGATGATTCTGTATCTTTATCTACACTGCTGCCTATATAGATAGATGATTCTGTATCTTTATCTACACTGCTGCCTATATAGATAGATGATTCTGTATCTTTATCTACACTGCTGCCTATATAGATAGATGATTCTGTATCTTTATCTACACTGCTGCCTATATAGATAGATGATTCTGTATCTTTATCTACACTGCTGCCTATATAGATAGATGATTCTGTATCTTTATCTACACTGCTGCCTATATAGATAGATGATTCTGTATCTTTATCTACACTGCTGCCTATATAGATAGATGATTCTGTATCTTTATCTACACTGCTGCCTATATAGATAGATGATTCTGTATCTTTATCTACACTGCTGCCTATATAGATAGATGATTCTGTATCTTTATCTACACTGCTGCCTATATAGATAGATGATTCTGTATCTTTATCTACACACTGCTGCCTATATAGATAGATGATTCTGTATCTTTATCTACACTGCTGCCTATATAGATAGATGATTCTGTATCTTTATCTACACTGCTGCCTATATAGATAGATGATTCTGTATCTTTATCTACACTGCTGCCTATATAGATAGATGATTCTGTATCTTTATCTACACTGCTGCCTATATAGATAGATGATTCTGTATCTTTATCTACACTGCTGCCTATATAGATAGATGATTCTGTATCTTTATCTACACTGCTGCCTATATAGATAGATGATTCTGTATCTTTATCTACACTGCTGCCTATATAGATAGATGATTCTGTATCTTTATCTACACTGCTGCCTATATAGATAGATGATTCTGTATCTTTATCTACACTGCTGCCTATATAGATAGATGATTCTGCATTTTGGAGTGATGTATCACCACATAAACTAGGACATATTGTTTGTCTGGTTTATTCTCATTATTTATGTTTTTGCTTTATGAACTGTTAGACCAAACTGTGTGATCTCTCATCAAGTATGTTTAATTTAGCTGTCATCTGATTTCTTTAGTGGGAAAGGAGAGAGACGTCAACAGCGAACTTCAGATCCTCGAGCTGTTTTATTAGGGTCTCATCATCATGTAGCAGGTCCTTTCCAAAATGTCGCTGTCATCACAGTCTGCCTGAAAGAAACTCAGTCTCTTGCCAGCTCTCCCCCATCATGTACTGTCATACTCAAGGAGTCAATTATATCCTGTGCCCATCTTCGTACTGGTTGGTGCCTGCCCCTCCTTCCTGGTACCATGCCTTCTGCTATAATTTTTTTCAATTCGTTGTGGCGCTTGATATGACCAAAATATTTCAGCTTTTGAGACATGATGCTGTTTATTAGCTAATCTTCCTTGATGTTTGGATCTTTCAGGATGTCAATATTTCTCATCTTCTCTGTCCAAGATATTCTGAGAATCTTTCTATAGCATTTCAAATCAAAAGCCCCTATTCTCCTTCTTAAGGACTGGGAAATAGTCCACGACTCACATCCGTATGTAGCCACAGGGAAGATGCATGCTCTCAAAATTCTAATTTTGATCTCCTTGCTGATGCTCAACCATAGACTTTTTAGGCTGTTTAATCTTTGCATTGCTATCGCCATCCATCTTTTAATTTCTGTTGAACAGTCTACATTGTTGTTTATTATAGAGCCTAGATATTCAAAGTTTGTGCCTTTTTTAATTTCTTCATCATTTATTGTTATTTTTGGGTGACAGCCAGTTTTATCTGTGGACATTATTTTCGTTTTCTTTAAATTCAAGAACAGATTTTGATCTTCACTGCGCTTTTGGACAGACAATATTAAATTTTCTATTCCCTTTACGCTGTTTGAAAGGAGGACTGTGTCATCTGCGTAGCGGAGTTCCGGAATAGGGTTGCCACCAATTTTGAGTGGATCATAACTGTCACAAGTCTGGTCATTTTTTTACATTTCTCATTACTTTTTTTGCGTATATATTGAATAGGTATGGTGGGATGCCTCACTCTCTTTTGCACCTTGAACCAATCCGATGTTTCACCAGCTGCTCTGATGGCTGCTTGTTGTTCATGAAGATTTTCAATTAAATGCACCAAATGCGCTGGAAACCCTATACTTCTCAAAATAGTCCACAGTTTCTGATGTTGGACACAATCAAATGTCTTGCTATAATCAATGACACAATCCTGGAGATCTACGTTAGGGTCTACCTAATTTTAATCCTTGTGGTAGCTGTTGACTTCTCCATAAAGTCTACCTATGTGCTTCACATAAATGTTTTAATTGATGACAAAAGTTAACCTCTTCACTTGTGTCTTACAGAAAGGTCTTCAATTATGACAAATAATCAACTTCTTCACCTGTGTTTTACATAAAGGTCTTTAATTATGACAGTTAAATTCTCCACTTGTATTTTACAGAAAAGTCTTCAATGATGACATGCAGTTAACTTCTGCACCTGTGTCTTACTGAAAGATCTTCAGTTATAACAAACAGTTAACTTCTCCATTTATGTTTTACAGAAAGGTCTTCAATTATGATAAATAGTTAACTTCCCCACTTATGTTTTACAGAAAGGTCTTCGATGATGACAAATAGTTTTCTTCTGCACTTGTCTTTTACAGAATGGTGTTCACTTATGACAAATAGTTAACATCTTTACTTGTGTTTTACAGAAAGGAACTATCCGAGGAACATTACTTGGCATGGAACACATGCGACGAGACAAGGGTGGGAATGGAGGAGTTATTGTCAACATTGCCTCTATGGCAGGTTGGTCTGTGTTCATTTTTTTCTTTTAATGGTCATAGATTTCATTAGATGTCTATTTATTGACAACAAGAAAAGTTCATTTTCCATGTACTGAGAATATTTGGCATATTATTCCATCTGTTTCTTCTTCTTCTCCTCCAACTACTTCTTCCTTTTCTTCTTCTTGTTCTTCTGCTGCTGCTTTTTCTTCACTGTCTGTAAACTCAGATAGAAAATCTTGGTGTTTTGGTCTTGATCCAAAACATTAAATGCACATCACTTTTACAGAAATTGCTTATTAGTGTGCAGACTGTTGGTTCCATTCTCATCATACAGCTGCACTCCTACTTTAAAGAAAACAATCTGACCTGAGTTGGCCAGGCTTCTGGTGGCGATCACTCAGATTTTGTTAAAACTAATCTTGGCTCCTAGGTCTATCCAGCCTCAAGGTAGGACCAGGTGATGTGTTGTAAAGTCATCCTTGCGGAACCTAGACTTTACAGGCCACTGTGTTACAAAAGACAGTGAAGTTCATACTTGAGATAGCATTGCTGATATAGATCATTTATTGCAAGAAAGAAAAAGAAAAAGAACAAAAAAAAGAAGTAATCCTGACTAGTCTGCTGTTGACTGCATCATCTGTACAAATATGTTTGGCATCATTTACCCCATTGGCATGACCAGGTTTTTTTTTGCGTAGGCAGGAAATACAGGAGATGGGAAATACAGGAGATGGGATAATTAGCTGACTAAGAAGCTTGTCCGTGAGCTGTGATACAAGTGAGGCTCTGCCAAGGATCTAAAACCAGTGGGGATATGATTATTTTTTAAAATCACATTCCCCCGTGTGGGTTCCGGGGCCCCATTGTGGATAAAACAAGAATAGACCCACTGCCTCCCCAAAAGCATGTTGTAAGAGTCGACTAATTGGGGAACTTCCTTTAAAGTCGGAGTGCATCTGCCGGAGAGGCAAGGAACCAACAGTCTGTATTCAAGCGAATGAGATCTGTAAAACTGATGCACACGCAACACTTAGGTTCTGGAGCAGGACTGCAGTTCAGTAGTGGACGAGCAACCAGAACTTTCCGCCAGAGTGTACAGCTGGTGAACGTGAAGAAGAAGAAGAAGAAGAAAATCACATTCAGCAGTAAACTATTTCACCAAAGAATTGTTTTTTCCAAGTTGTGGTCTGATAAATGCTTTTTGCAGCACATTTTTTAGTTGATTTATCATCGGGTTTGCACTTCTTGGGGCATTCAATGATGTATAATCATGTCATGTCTTACATCAAGCTGTGATTCTTCGTTAGTGTTAGTTCTTCTGTTATTTTTGTGTGTGTTGTTGCCAGGAATCAACCCCAACCCTTGTGGGCCGGTCTATGGGGCAACCAAAAGTGCCATCATCATGTACTCACAAGCCTGGGCTGTAAGTATGACCACACTGGCTTTTTTGTTTTGTTTTTCTAAATATTTTTCTGTTAGGTATAATTTTTTTTAGCACTAACTGTAATTAAATTGACACTTTTTGGTGAGTACCGGCACTTTTCAAAGACACATTGTGGCAAGAACAGCCATGTGTTTTAGAGGAAAGAAACCCCATGACAAATAAGAATATAATTATTTTATGGGCATTGATTAGAACTATCTATTGTTGGGGGAAGGGAGGTAATTAAGTAAAGACACTTTGCTAGACAAGAAGAGAATGGGAAAGGTTACAGAGAAAAAGACTGATGTGGTAACAGTTTGTTTGTTTGCCCTTACAGTGTTCTTGATACCTACCCTCAACAGAATATTTTGTAGTATGTTGAAGATGAGGGGAGGCAGCCCATCTGAAGAATGTTACCTAAAGTGTTTTTGTAAATAGCCATCAAAGCAGCTTATCTCCTCGTGGAATAAACAGTAGAGAAACACTACATCACTGCCAAGCTTGATTGTCAAAATGGCTTGGCATTTTCAACACTTGATTTTCTGAGGATTCTATTCTTTTTTGACTTTCTGATTTCTTCATCTTCAGCTTCTTTTTCCTTCCCTTTCTTCTTAGTAGTCGCTGGCGGTTAACTCTGGTGAAAGTTCCGGTTGTTTGTGCATTTCTGGATTTTAATCTTGTTCCAGAACGAGTTTTGCATGCAAATGTGTTTTACAGATCTGGTCTGCTTGTGTGCAGACTGTTGGTTCCTTGCCTCCCATAAATATGTATTCCAGTTTCATAAGCAAAAGCCTTATTTAGTAGCTTTTTACGACACTTGCGGGGTGGGTGGGGGTGGGGGGGGGGTGGGGTGGGGGAGGGCAGTGGATCTATTCTTTTTTATGCCAAACTGGGACCCTGGAACCCACACAGGAATTGGTGTCAACAATACAGGAGAACTATATCATCAATGGTTACCTTGTCCTGTTGAGCATTGCATTCTTTCTGGATTTTCAGATTTGATTAGTTAGTATCTAATTGTGGTTTCTATTCATAACTAGATACTTTTATTATCCTGTCATACCGTGGACATGACACAGAGCTCAAGGCATCTGCCCAAACCACCCCACTACTGTGACTTCATCACAAGGAGAAAAAGTGGGTTGGGTGGGGCGGTTGGGGGGATAGGTGGCAGAAAACGAAGCTTAACTCTTTGAGCAGCAGACGGTTCTACACGAGATGCCCGGATGTAATGCTAAAGGCATCACCAAAAACCCTTTGTATAAATACTGACAACTGGGAGGTTGCTGCACAAAATAGAACAATATGGTGAAAGTCTCTCCAAAAAGATAGTGACTTTTGAGGCATCCGGAAAAAAGGGCAGCTGAAAACTGAAAAGCGAAGGCAGTCTAGAAAGACCCCTATAACCGACCCTTTACCTAATGACACTGTTCCCTGCCCCTCGTTGTCATAGATCTTTCCAGACCTGTATTGGGCTTATGCGTCACCTCCAGATTTATAGACAATCAACAATAATTTCATGATGGATAAAAGAAAAAGTGGTCCTCATCACTTGTGTTGGACAAACAAGAAATGTATCCACTACCACTAGGAAAATCCATGAGTGTATTACTTTCAAAGAAGCCAATTATTACTGAAGCCAGATTTCTTCAGTCTCTGCGGATCAGATGTCTATGGTACAAGTACACATTCAGTGTTAAATAGGACTTATAGAAGAGCTAACCCTACATCACACGTTGTGTGGGACTAAAAGTGGTAAGCCAGAAATCAGTTTGGTGGAGACTCATGTAGCCTACCTTCAATGGGAAGATTTCTACTGACGATGATAATGAATATATTCCTTATGAGTAGCATAGACACAGCTTGCCAACAATTGGAATCGTCACAGATTCCACTCTCACAGTTATGCCAACAATTGGAATCGTCACAGATTCCACTCTCACAGTTATGCCAACAATTGGAATCGTCACTGATTCCACTCTCACAGTTATGCCAACAACTGGAATCGTCACAGATTCCACTCTCGCAGTTATGCCAACAATTGGAATCGTCACAGATTCCACTCTCACAGTTATGCCAACAATTGGAATCGTCACAGATTCCACTCTCACAGTTATGCCAACAATTGAAATCGTCACAGATTCAACTCTCACAGTTATGCCAACAATTGGAATCGTCACAGATTCAACTCTCACAGTTATGCCAACAATTGGAATCGTCACAGATTCCACTCTCACAGTTATGCCAACAACTGGAATCGTCACAGATTCCACTCTCACAGTTATGCCAACAATTGGAATCGTCACAGATTGCACTCTCACAGTTATGCCAACAATTGGAATCGTCACAGATTCCACTCTCACAGTTATGCCAACAATTGGAGTCTTCTTCTTTCATTCGCTTGAAATAAATTACTTATATCTGCAATGTTGTCTCTAGTATGGAGTGGGCTAGAAGTGGAAAGGTTCCATCACCCAGCTATTGAGTTGAGAGCATAGTGCGACCCTGAGTTTTTTCTGTCGTGTCTACGGTGTGTTCTTGACTGCCCTAAAATGGCGGATGGCTGGTTACATTCAGAATGATGTGTACTTCTGCGGGTACAATGCCGGCTTTCATGACTGACTGTCTGGGCCAACAGTGAGCTGTAACTCTGGTGTAGTATCTTAGTACTAGCACATCTGAAGGATGCTTCATGTGTATTTACTTTGCATGTGCAAGCTTCAGGTTTTTAAAGTGGACAGCGAAGGACATTTTGTGTGATTTCCACTGGCACCGGAACAAACGAACAAACACACTTTATTTTCAAAGGGTCACAAATTTGGCACACAGGTCATCTTACATTTGGTGCGGAGAAGATATAGGGTGACCATTCTGTAGTGATAGAGGAACTTTGACTAACGATTAATGCCGTCAGTCCATCTTCTCCTTGAACGTTCACTTACTTTGACAACAAAAATTTTTTTGTGGAGCATCTGTGTTTGTAGCTGTTGTGGTTGCAGTGATTTTTGCAAATGTATTTTCCTCAGAAAAACCCGGAACTAGCAGCCAATGGGGTTCGAATCAACGTGCTGGCTCCAGCATTTGCTGACACAGCGCTGGTGGCAAAGATGAAGGACACGACAACCATCCATCTACCCACGGTTGCTGATCAGATCATAGCCAGGGTTGGCATCATGACGTAAGTGCTTGTTATATTAAGTTATCACAATATATATATATTACTGCACATTGAACATTCTTACGGAGGCTTACTGCTCCAATGCAGTTACCGTACCAAAGTACCTCTACTCATGCAGTTTTGATATTTCTTGTCTTGACTGAAGCCATCATTGGCATGCTTGGTCAAATTCACTTCCAAATCATGTAGTCAGCCTAGTATCAGCTTCACTTCCAGGCCATGAAGACAACCTATTACCAGCTTCACGTTCATGCCATGTAGTCAGGCTTCACTTCTATACCATGTAGTCATTCTAGTATCAGCTTCACTTCCATGCCATGAAGCCAGGCTTCACTTCTATACCATGTAGTCATTCTAGTATCAGCTTCACTTCCATACCATGTAGTCATTCTAGTATCAGCTTCACTTCCAGGCCATGAAGACAACCTATTACCAGCTTCACTTCCATGCCATGTAGTCAGGCTTCACTTCCATGCCATGTAGTCAGGCTTCACTTCCATGCCATGTAGTCAGGCTTCACTTCCATGCCATGTAGTCAGGCTTCACTTCCATGCCATGTAGTCATTCTAGTATCAGCTTCACTTCCAGGCCATGAAGACAACCTATTACCAGCTTCACTTCCATGCCATGTAGTCAGCCTTCACTTTCATACCATGTAGTCAGCCTTCACTTCCATGCCATGTAGTCAGCCTTCACTTCCATTCTATGTAGTCAGCCTTCACTTCCATACCATGTAGTCAGGCATCACTTCCATGCCATGTAGTCAGGCTTCACTTCCATACCATGTAGTCAGGCATCACTTCCATACCATGTAGTCAGCCTTCACTTCCATGCCATGTGGTCAGGCATCACTTCCATACCATGTAGTCAGGCATCACTTCCATACCATGTAGTCAGCCTTCACTTCCATGCCATGTGGTCAGGCATCACTTCCATACCATGTAGTCAGCCTTCACTTCCATACCATGTAGTCAGGCATCACTTCCATACCATGTAGTCAGCCTTCACTTCCATACCATGTAGTCAGGCATCACTTCCATACCATGAAGTCAGCCTTCACTTCCATGCCATGTAGTCAGGCATCACTTCCATACCATGTAGTCAGGCATCACTTCCATGCCATGTAGTCAGGCTTCACTTCCATACCATGTAGTCAGGCATCACTTCCATACCATGTAGTCAGCCTTCACTTCCATGCCATGTAGTCAGCCTTCACTTCCATGCCATGTAGTCAGGCTTCACTTCCATACCATGTAGTCAGCCTTCACTTCCATACCATGTAGTCATTCTAGTATCAGCTTCACTTCCAGGCCATAAAGACAACCTATTACCAGCTTCACTTCCATGCCATGTAGTCATTCTAGTATCAGCTTCACTTCCAGGCCATGAAGACAACCTATTACCAGCTTCACTTCCATGCCATGTAGTCAGCCTTCACTTCCATGCCATGTAGTCATTCTAGTATCAGCTTCACTTCCAGGCCATGTAGTCATTCTAGTATCAGCTTCACTTCCAGACCATGTAGTCAGGCTTCACTTTCATGCCATGTAGTCATTTCTAGTATCAGCTTCACTTCCAGGCCATGTAGTCAACCTAGTATCAGTTTCACTTCCATGCCATGTAGTCAACCTAGTATCAGCTTCACTTCCAGGCCATGTAGTCATTCTAGTATCAGCTTCACTTCCAGACCATGTAGTCAACCTAGTATCAGTTTCACTTCCATGCCATGTAGTCAACCTAGTATCAGCTTCACTTCCAGGCCATGTAGTCATTCTAGTATCAGCTTCACTTCCAGACCATGTAGTCATTCTAGTATCAGCTTCACTTCCAGGCCATGTAGTCATTCTAGTATCAGCTTCACTTCCAGACCATGTAGTCATTCTAGTATCAGCTTTACTTCCAGGCCATGTAGTCATTCTAGTATCAGCTTCACTTCCAGGCCATGTAGTCATTCTAGTATCAGCTTCACTTCCAGGCCATGTAGTCAACCTAGTATCAGCTTCACTTCCAGGCCATGTAGTCATTCTAGTATCAGCTTCACTTCCAGACCATGTAGTCATTCTAGTATCAGCTTCACTTCCAGACCATGTAGTCATTCTAGTATCAGCTTCACTTCCAGGCCATGTAGTCAACCTAGTATTAGCTTCACTTCCAGGCCATGTAGTCATTCTAGTATCAGCTTCACTTCCAGACCATGTAGTCATTCTAGTATCAGCTTCACTTCCATGCCATGTAGTCATTCTAGTATCAGCTTCACTTCCATACCATGTAGTCATTCTAGTATCAGCTTCACTTCCAGGCCATGTAGTCATTCTAGTATCAGCTTCACTTCCAGACCATGTAGTCATTCTAGTATCAGCTTCACTTCCAGGCCATGTAGTCATTCTAGTATCAGCTTCACTTCCAGGCCATGTAGTCATTCTAGTATCAGCTTCACTTCCAGACCATGTAGTCATTCTAGTATCAGCTTCACTTCCAGGCCATGTAGTCATTCTAGTATCAGCTTCACTTCCAGGCCATGTAGTCATTCTAGTATCAGCTTCACTTCCATACCATGTAGTCATTCTAGTATCAGCTTCACTTCCATGCCATGTAGTCATTCTAGTATCAGCTTCACTTCCATACCATGTAGTCATTCTAGTATCAGCTTCACTTCCAGGCCATGTAGTCATTCTAGTATCAGCTTCACTTCCAGACCATGTAGTCATTCTAGTATCAGCTTCACTTCCAGGCCATGTAGTCAACCTAGTATCAGCTTCACTTCCATGCTATGTAGTCAACCTAGTATCAGCTTCACTTCCATGCTATGTAGTCAACCTAGTATCAGCTTCACTTCCATGCCATGTAGTCATTCTAGTATCAGCTTCACTTCCATGCCATGTAGTCAACCTAGTATCAGCTTCACTTCCATGCCATGTAGACAACCTAGTATCAGCTTCACTTCCAGGCCATGTAGTCAACTTAGTATCAGCTTCACTTCCAGGCCATGTAGTCAACCTAGTATCAGCTTCACTTCCAGGCCATGTAGTCATTCTAGTATCAGCTTCACTTCCAGGCCATGTAGTCATTCTAGTATCAGCTTCACTTCCAGGCCATGTAGTCATTCTAGTATCAGCTTCACTTCCAGGCCATGTAGTCATTCTAGTATCAGCTTCACTTCCATGCCATGTAGTCAACCTAGTATCAGCTTCACTTCCATGCCATGTAGACAACCTAGTATCAGCTTCACTTCCAGGCCATGTAGTCAACTTAGTATCAGCTTCACTTCCAGGCCATGTAGTCAACCTAGTATCAGCTTCACTTCCAGGCCATGTAGTCATTCTAGTATCAGCTTCACTTCCAGGCCATGTAGTCATTCTAGTATCAGCTTCACTTCCAGGCCATGTAGTCATTCTAGTATCAGCTTCACTTCCATGCTATGTAGTCAACCTAGTATCAGCTTCACTTCCAGGCCATGTAGTCATTCTAGTATCAGCTTCACTTCCAGGCCATGTAGTCATTCTAGTATCAGCTTCACTTCCATGCCATGTAGTCATTCTAGTATCAGCTTCACTTCCATGCCATGTAGTCAACCTAGTATCAGCTTCACTTCCAGGCCATGTAGTCATTCTAGTATCAGCTTCACTTCCATGCCATGTAGTCATTCTAGTATCAGCTTCACTTCCATGCCATGTAGTCAACCTAGTATCAGCTTCACTTCCAGGCCATGTAGTCAACCTAGTATCAGCTTCACTTCCAGGCCATGTAGTCAACCTAGTATCAGCTTCACTTCCAGGCCATGTAGTCATTCTAGTATCAGCTTCACTTCCATGCCATGTAGTTATTCTAGTATCAGCTTCACTTCCAGGCCATGTAGTCATTCTAGTATCAGCTTCACTTCCAGGCCATGTAGTCATTCTAGTATCAGCTTCACTTCCAGGCCATGTAGTCATTCTAGTATCAGCTTCACTTCCATGCCATGTAGTCATTCTAGTATCAGCTTCACTTCCATGCCATGTAGTCATTCTAGTATCAGCTTCACTTCCATGCCATGTAGTCAACCTAGTATCAGCTTCACTTCCAGGCCATGTAGTCATTCTAGTATCAGCTTCACTTCCATGCCATGTAGTCATTCTAGTATCAGCTTCACTTCCATGCCATGTAGTCATTCTAGTATCAGCTTCACTTCCAGACCATGTAGTCAACCTAGTATCAGCTTCACTTCCAGGCCATGTAGTCAACCTAGTATCAGCTTCACTTCCATGCTATGTAGTCAACCTAGTATCAGCTTCACTTCCATGCCATGTAGTCAACCTAGTATCAGCTTCACTTCCATGCCATGTAGACATCCTAGTATCAGCTTCACTTCCATGCCATGTAGTCAACCTAGTATCAGCTTCACTTCCATGTCATGTAGTCATTCTAGTATCAGTTTCACTTCCATGCTATGTAAACAACCTAGTATCAGCTTCACTTCCATGCTATGTAGTCATTCTAGTATCAGTTTCACTTCCATGCTATGTAAACAACCTAGTATCAGCTTCACTTCCATACCATGTAAACAACCTAGTATCAGCTTCACTTCCATGCTATGTAGTCAACCTAGTATCAGCTTCACTTCCATGCCATGTAGTCAACCTAGTATCAGCTTCACTTCCATGCCATGTAGTCAACCTAGTATCAGCTTCACTTCCATGCCATGTAGACATCCTAGTATCAGCTTCACTTCCAGGCCATGTAGACAACCTAGTATCAGTTTCACTTCCATGCTATGTAAACAACCTAGTATCAGCTTCACTTCCAGGTCACGTAGTCAGCCTAGTATCAGCTTCACTTCCATGTCATGTAAACAACCTAGTATCAGCTTCACTTCCATGCCATGTAGACATCCTAGTATCAGTTTCACTTCCATGCTATGTAAACAACCTAGTATCAGCTTCACTTCCATGCCATGTAGACAGCCTAGTATCAGCTTCACTTCCATGCCATGTAAACAACCTAGTATCAGCTTCACTTCCATGCCATGTAAACAACCTAGTATCAGCTTCACTTCCATGTCATGTAGTCAGCCTAGTATCAGCTTCACTTCCATGTCATGTAGTCAGCCTAGTATCAGCTTCACTTCCATGTCATGTGGTCAGCCTAGTATCAGCTTCACTTCCATGTCATGTAGTCAGCCTAGTATCAGCTTCACTTCCATGCCATGTAAACAACCTAGTATCAGCTTCACTTCCATGTCATGTAGTCAACCTAGTATCAGCTTCACTTCCATGTCATGTAAACAACCTAGTATCAGCTTCACTTCCATGCCATGTAAACAACCTAGTATCAGCTTCACTTCCATGCCATGTAAACAACCTAGTATCAGCTTCACTTCCATACCATGTAGTCAGTCTAGTATCAGCTTCACTTCCATGCCATGTAAACAACCTAGTATCAGCTTCACTTCCATGTCATGTAGTCAGCCTAGTATCAGCTTCACTTCCATGCCATGTAAACAACCTAGTATCAGCTTCACTTCCATGCTATGTAGTCATTCTAGTATCAGTTTCACTTCCATGCCATGTAAACAACCTAGTATCAGCTTCACTTCCATGCCATGTAAACAACCTAGTATCAGCTTCACTTCCATGCCATGTAGACATCCTAGTATCAGTTTCACTTCCAGACCATGTAGACATTCTAGTATCAGCTTCACTTCCATGCTATGTAGTCATTCTAGTATCAGCTTCACTTCCATGCCATGTAGTCAACCTAGTATCAGCTTCACTTCCAGACCATGTAGACATTCTAGTATCAGCTTCACTTCCATGCTATGTAGTCATTCTAGTATCAGCTTCACTTCCATGCCATGTAGTCAACCTAGTATCAGCTTCACTTCCAGACCATGTAGACATTCTAGTATCAGCTTCACTTCCATGCTATGTAGTCATTCTAGTATCAGCTTCACTTCCATGCCATGTAGTCAACCTAGTATCAGCTTCACTTCCAGACCATGTAGACATTCTAGTATCAGCTTCACTTCCATGCTATGTAGTCATTCTAGTATCAGCTTCACTTCCAGGCCATGTAGTCAACCTAGTATCAGCTTCACTTCCAGACCATGTAGACATTCTAGTATCAGCTTCACTTCCATGCTATGTAGTCATTCTAGTATCAGCTTCACTTCCATGCCATGTAGTCAACCTAGTATCAGCTTCACTTCCAGACCATGTAGACAACCTAGTATCAGCATCACTTCCATGCCATGTAGTCAACCTAGTATCAGCTTCACTTCCAGACCATGTAGTCATTCTAGTATCAGCTTCACTTCCATGCTATGTAGTCATTCTAGTATCAGCTTCACTTCCAGACCATGTAGACAACCTAGTATCAGCTTCACTTCCATGCCATGTAGTCAACCTAGTATCAGCTTCACTTCCATGCCATGTAGTCATTCTAGTATCAGCTTCACTTCCAGACCATGTAGACAACCTAGTATCAGCTTCACTTCCATGCCATGTAGTCAACCTAGTATCAGCTTCACTTCCATGTCATGTAGTCATTCTAGTATCAGCTTCACTTCCAGACCATGTAGACATTCTAGTATCAGCTTCACTTCCATGTCATGTAGTCATTCTAGTATCAGCTTCACTTCCATGTCATGTAGTCATTCTAGTATCAGCTTCACTTCCATGCTATGTAGTCATTCTAGTATCAGCTTCACTTCCAGACCATGTAGTCAACCTAGTATCAGCTTCACTTCCAGACCATGTAGACATTCTAGTATCAGCTTCACTTCCATGCTATGTAGTCATTCTAGTATCAGCTTCACTTCCATGCTATGTAGTCAACCTAGTATCAGCTTCACTTCCAGACCATGTAGACATTCTAGTATCAGCTTCACTTCCATGCTATGTAGTCATTCTAGTATCAGCTTCACTTCCATGCTATGTAGTCAACCTAGTATCAGCTTCACTTCCATGCTATGTAGTCATTCTAGTATCAGCTTCACTTCCATGCTATGTAGTCAACCTAGTATCAGCTTCACTTCCATGCCATGTAGTCATTCTAGTATCAGCTTCACTTCCAGACCATGTAGACAACCTAGTATCAGCTTCACTTCCATGCCATGTAGTCATTCTAGTATCAGCTTCACTTCCATGCCATGTAGTCAACCTAGTATCAGCTTCACTTCCATGCCATGTAGTCATTCTAGTATCAGCTTCACTTCCAGACCATGTAGACATTCTAGTATCAGCTTCACTTCCATGCTATGTAGTCATTCTAGTATCAGCTTCACTTCCATGCTATGTAGTCAACCTAGTATCAGCTTCACTTCCAGACCATGTAGTCATTCTAGTATCAGCTTCACTTCCAGGTCAAGTAGTCAACCTAGTATCAGCTTCACTTCCAGGCCATGTAGTCATTCTAGTATCAGCTTCACTTCCAGGCCATGTAGTCAACCTAGTATCAGCTTCACTTCCAGGCCATGTAGTCATTCTAGTATCAGCTTCACTTCCAGGTCAAGTAGTCAGACTCCATGACATTCATTGTATCCTTTTAACCACAACAACAACAACAACAACAACATCAACAACAACAAACCCACACCTCTGCAATGATGTCTCACATGCATATAACATGTTATTTCCTCACTGCAGTTATTTTGTTCTAATTAGTGATTAGATTTTGCATCTTGCTAAAGGCTAACTGAACGATGACATTAGCGTCACTTTACCCTCACTGAACAATGTCATCAGTGTCACTTAACTCTCACTGAAAAATGCTTCAGTGTCTTTTCACTCTCAGTGAATAATGTCATCAGTGTTACTTCACTTTCACTGAGCCTCAATGTCACTTCACTCTCACTGAATGATGTCATCAGTGTCACTTCACTCTCACTGAATGATGTCATCTGTGTCACTTCACTCTCACTGAATGATGTCATCAGTGTCACTTCACTCTCACTGAATGATGTCATCAGTGTCACTTCACTCTCACTGAATGATGTCATCTGTGTCACTTCACTCTCACTGAATGATGTCATCTGTGTCACTTCACTCTCACTGAATGATGTCATCAGTGTCACTTCACTCTCACTGAATGATGTCATCAGTGTCACTTCACTCTCACTGAATGATGTCATCAGTGTCACTTCACTCTCACTGAATGATGTCATCAGTGTCACTTCACTCTCACTAAATGACACCATCAGTTTTGCTTCACTCTACCAACATTTGTTACATGTTCACTGATCTGTTGATATAAGTTATGTTACATCAAAACTGGTCACATATATTTTGTTAATTCACTTTATATTTTCCTTAACTGTTAAAAAAAAAGTTTATGTTACAACTGATCAAATTTACTTTGCTAAGTTTACATTATGTTTATTATGTATTCATTACCAGTTGATATCAGTTTATGTTATATGACAGCAGATCACATATACTTTGTTACGTCCACCTTATGTTACATCCATCTGTTGATATGATTTTATGTTATATGAAAGTATGTCGCTATTTTTCACTTCACAGGCCAGAGGATGTGGCGGAAGCATTGTTTGAACTTGTTGATGACCAGAATAAAACTGGAGCAGTTCTGAAAATAGCAAAAGCCACAGGAAAAGAATATCATACAGTTTAGGAGATGTATATTTTTCAAATGGTGTAGTTATGTTGCTAGTGTTAACAATTTGTACATACTTGCACATTGTAGTTCTAGCTAAAAGATCTGAATATCAAGGAAAATGGGTTCGTAAACACTGAAACTAAAATACTTTGGTCAAATCAAAAAATGCATAGGTTATAAAAAACAGTATTATGAACAGATATCAAATGAAATGAAAAACTTGGACTAGTCGGCTTTGTATTATCACAGTCCTAACCATAAATGACAAGCAAGCATTGCAGCTAGAAAACCCTCATCAGCACATGACAAACAAATACATTTACAAACATGAGTACATTAAATAACTTAATGTGGGTCTCTCGATGAAACATCTTCACGCCTGTCTGGCCAGTTGAAGCTCTGAGACACGTGTGAATACAGGAAATGAATAGTCTCCAGAAGGTTCGGTAATCAGGTAACTGCAGTTCCAACCTAATTGTAAATGGGTCACCCCATAGTTGCTCCGTTCCTGTGCCAATGAAAACCACATAGAATGTCCATCATTGTCCCTTGAGGAAACATTGATTTGGTCAGCAGTCTCAGCAAATCCACTAGCATACCCATGCACTAAATGCATAAGGCAGCCACTAGAAGTGCCAACATAAACAGTCTGACACTAGAAATGCATTTCATCAAAAGAAGTAGCATTTACAACAGATCAGTAGTTGCAGATGCGATCAATCACATAAGACACCATTACTTATGTGGCCACTCGCCACTTTCTGAATCTTTAGTTCACAATAGAAATCACACAGGGCACAGTCAAAAAGCATTCCAAATGAAATCCACAGCTCACAGTGTGGCACCATGCACTCACTCAGTTGCTGGGCAACAAAATTATATCCTTTCAGTCTACATATAGAGGACAGGCTACAGAGAGTTATTAACAGAAGCAAACACTTGCCATGACTAAAAATGGCAACCCTGCCTATTGACTGGAAGTCTTTATATCATACAAGCCAAAAATAGATGTGGAAGGTAAGGGTCATAACTCAAGGCAGAACAAGGAAAGAACAGTAGCGGAGGGCATGGTACCAGGCAAGAGGAGCAGGAGTCGACAAGTATGAAGATATTCCAGATCATAAGTGACACTTTGAGCAGACAAGTACATGCGGCAGGAGAGCTGGTGAGGGACCAGGCTTCTTTCAAGCAGGCTGTGATGAGAGTGATGTTCTGTAAAAGATTTGTCACACGATGATGATGAGCTATAGATCGTATTAACTAGCCTAAACAATGTGTATATATTTTTGTGTTGCGATTTTTTGCTATATTAACGTACATATTAGTGTTATTTCAAGCTAGTGCTAATGAACCAAAATTGGGCATGTCTCGTTGTTCTGGCAAGTGTTAACGTATACAAGCAGTCAGTATTGAGAAATTCATGGCTACTTCTGTCTCCTGATTTAAAAAAAAAAAACATGAGCAAATATGAAAGGACTGACTTTGCTGCGTATGTTTATCCTATCTGCATTGTTCTCTCTAACAGAGGATAAACTATAAACAAAAAAAAAATGGACCAGTGTATAATATAAAATACAAATATCTTCTTCTTGTTGTTCAGTATTCCAAAGCCTTGTATTTCAGTGCTGTAGATATCACCTCCTGTGATTAGTATTCTCTTTCCAGTTACTTGGTGACTGCCAGTGTTTGTCAGTCTGATTGTATATGATCTTACCACTGTCCTCCTTGGCTGCTCGTGGTCTGTCTCCAGTTAACGCTATTGGGTGCTTGTCAATGTAATATTATTGCTTTAGAAATAAAATAAACTTATTCAGAAGTTATTTTATATATTCTGTCCGTGTGGCCTCAAGGTTAGTTAAATTGTTTCACAATTCAATCCTTGATGCAGCCAGGAATGTTTTTTTCTAAATTAAAAGGCACAAAGTGTCTGCTTCAGTAATGCTGAGGAAAAAAAAAAAAAGAAAAGAAAAAAAAAACAGTGATACCAAATAAGAAAGGTGCCGGTAATGCGCACCATCAGGAAAAAAAGCCCTGGATTCACTAGATTTCAATGTCCATGTTGAGGTTATTGAGTTATTGAGTGATTGTCAGTTAAAATGCCGAAATATGCCAAAGCAATAATCGGTTAAAATGCCGAAATATGCCGAAGCAATAATCAGTTAAAATACCGAAATATGCCGAAGCAATAATCAGTTAAAATGCTGAAATATGCCGAAGCAATAATCAGTTAAAATGCCGAAACATGCCGAAGCAATAATCAGTTAATATGCCGAAGCAATAATCAGTTAAAATGCCGAAATATGCCGAAGCAATAATCAGTTAAAATGCCGAAATATGCCGTAGCAATGGTTGCAAATATATGACTAGAACGACACCTTTAATCCGTCTGCCGTCATCGTTTGCGAGGAGTCTGCACAATTGTAAGATTTCAACAAACACATGGATTTTGTGTTTTATATTACAGATGAATGAAGCGATCTATGAAAGGAGGGAGAGTTAAAGAGCAGATTGTTATACGGGCCTGAATGTCTAGTTCCTTTCAAAATAAAGTTTGTTCGTTTGTTTATATTTATTTCCAGTTCTGCTGTAATAGTTTATGGTGAGTAACGACACTTTTTTCTTTCTAGAAAGCCTTGTGAACCCACCCAAAGTAAACAGCAGATGACTTTATAACAACAGGCTGCCACAGTATAACTGTGTTATGTATGTTATAACCCCTTGAACTAGGCATGTGGCATTTGTACTGGTGTGATTCTCATCTCTGAGATGTTGATCGTTTAGAATACAATCCTAGAGGAGTAAAAGTTCTGTTAAAAAAAAAAAAACTCTTTATATCGAACATTGAACTCACCAACACCAGTTAATCAGAGATCTGAAATAAATATTTCAGGAATTCAACAAGCCAGCAATGTCATATATCAGCTGACCCCAGCTTGGAAACACCTGGCAATCCCTGTAGTGCCACACACAAGAAAGACAAATTATAAATGAAGTCTTCAGACTAATCTTGTGCTATCAGTGTCAGACTTGGGTATTGACTAAAGCACATGAAACTAACTGACCACCTACGAAAAGAGAAGTTGAGAATGGCTGTGAACAAAACTAGAAGAGATGATTTGAGAAATGAAGAAATTACAAGAACTGTTAAAAAAACCTGTATAATTGAATTAATTGAAAAATAAGGACTAAAATGGTTTGGCCATTTAATGAGAATGACAGCCGTGATGCCCGCCTACAACATGAAAGTCAGAAAAGCCAAAAGGTAAGGGGTGACCAAGAATAATATGGACTGAGAGAGTAACTGATAGCTTGAGACTTCACAACATCACTGCATACCGGGCAACCGAGCGTGCCCTAGCTCGGATACCGATCATCTGTTATCCTACAGCGCCTAGAGGCACACAGCAGAAAATTGACAAAAGAAAGGGAAATGAATATTTGTTTTCCTACATGCAGGCCAGAAGCATTAATTATCTCTTTTTTGTATATTTGTTTTGCTGAATATTTTATTCACTCACATCAATCACTAAGAGATCTCAACAGCTTTTTGTGTGTGTGCGTGCGTACTTGCGTGTGTGTGTGTGGAAGATGGAGATACCAAAATGTATGTAAATCAGAGTTTCATTGTATATTGGTATAATTGTTTCACTGGTGATAAGTTTCAATAATGACTCAGTTTCATTAATGACTCAGTTTCATTAATTATTAATTAGCTTGACTGATTAATTATTAGTACTTTTTTTACTGAATGAGTTTTATTGATAGACTTTCATTAACGGTAATTAATTTTGATCATGAATAAGTATCAGTGGTTGAATTTAATTGATTGTGATTGAGTTTCAGGAATGATTATTGAACTTGACTGATTTAATTTTATTAGTGATTAAATTTCATTATTGACAATTGAATCTAACAATGATTGAGTTTTATTAGCGATTGAAATTTTTGATGTTTGTTGATTTTTACAATTACTGAGTTTCATTAGTGGTGACTGAGTTTAATTGATGAGTGATTTTCACTAATGATTGAATTTCATTGATGATGACTGACTCCTTCAGATTAGTGAGTAGGTAAACTGATCTTCGATCTGTGCTAAAATATTGAACTCATTTGCTTCAAGAAACACACCAGGTGGTAGTAGTAGTATAGTGCTTTTTAAAAGTTGTGCCCCCAGACTAACAAATGTGTCGAAAATGCCTGAACAGATAAAGAAAAATGTTTGAATGTCACAAAAGTTTAGAGAGAACAATAATGGAACGGTATATGCCTGGGAAGAGAGGAAAGGAATGCCAAAGAGAAGATGGGTGCATGATGTGGGGGATGATTTCCAGATTGGCTAAGGCGTTGCGAGTCCGACTCGTCAGCCAGCACACCGCGATCGAAACCCACTGCAGGCTGCGTGGATTTTTGTCGTGGTATGGGACGTCGGAGGTCGACCCAGCCTAAAATGGGTACCAGGATGGGCTGTCCTGGGAAAGTGAAGACAGCCGGCGTAATGCTGACCACATTACCCACAAAGTGCTGATGGTCTGTAAAAATATTGGACGCTCTGCCCATATGCCCGATGCGCCGAAAGGCGTGAAAAGGGAACTTTACTTTTTTTTTTTTATACCTGACGTGGGACATCTTGCTTATGATCGAGAAGTTTTCCGGAGGTTTGTTATGGGAGCAAGGTTTTGCAAAGGACATGCTACTAAATGACTGACTCCTACAAATATAATTTATAGTAATTGACACATGTATGGTTCTAAGTTACCTATCTCATCCCCCTTGTGGGATGCCATTTTTCGTTATTTTGAAGCCCCACTCTGGCTGTTGCTAGGGACTGTAATATAACCTAAAGGTTGAACGCGGTTTCCGGGACTTTTCCACGGGTGATCCTTAACTGCATAGTGGCACTTTGTATCACCAGGTGTTTCTCGCTCTGCGTGATGTGGGTGTAAAATATACTTACCTTCATGCGTGAAGATTGTTAGGAAATCATTTTACATGTGCAGCAATGCATGACGATTATT